CTCTCCCTCACAAGACTACTACAACAATCACCTTTGCCTGTGTTGTGATTCAGCCTTTATGAAACCATTATTTCACAAGTATCTGAAGTTCATCTGTCTCTATTCCCTCCTACTTCATTTTAAATTATTCTATACGTGCTTCCACAAAGATCATAACATTTATGAAGTTAAAATACTTACAAAAGCTGCATGCCTTCCACGAAACCCACGTGTACACTGTTGCCTCCATGGTTTCCAAACAATAAATCCCAAGAGATATAGAACAAACATGGATGTTTTTGCAAAAGTACTGAAAAAAGGTTTGTTGTACTTTGTAAAAACATACTGCGGAAAGAAAATAATTACAGTATCCAAAATTACCAATTAGGTGAGAATTCAAAAAATGAACAGTTTTATTTAAGTACACAGTCCAGAATAGCCTGGTTCCTAAAATCAGGACGCCACAATTATTGGCATGTATGACCAAAAGAGACAAGCGGCCCCACCTATTCTGCTGGTGCCCTCTCCCAAGCCATCTTCAACACCAACAAGAAGGCACTGAACCATTTTTTAAGATATTCTGCCACCAGGGAAAAACTATTTTTCACTTCTATTTAAACAGGCAACATATTGATACGCTATAGAACTAAAAGCGTTCACTTACATGCAGACTACATTTACATACAAATATTACACATAAAAGACCACTTTTGTAAGCAATAGCATAGTAGTCATAACTGAAAGTAAAAAAGGGGTTTAGTTCTTGATTAAATAGCATTTCAGGATAGGTAGTATTTCCACTAACTCACTGAGAAAAAAGCTAATGTAATGGTAGCATGTTACACAAACATTTTTACACGCTGACTGATATAGAACATAGCTACTTAATGACAGTTCAGAAATCTGAACTTGACAAAAATGTATCAAAACCCCTCAATTTTCCTTGCCAAAGCTCTGCTTTAAGACCTAAAATTTAACATGAAGTAAATACTAGATTAGTTTTATGATGGTAAATATACAAATCAGATTATAACATAAACTTGTCTGCAATTACATGGATTAACCCAATGACTCCTTAGTCCTCTGGTCCTGGATTTGCAAGTGTTCTGAACTACAATCTACCATACTACCTAGCTTTAATGCTACCACTCATTTACTACTTCTTGGGAAAAGCCTGTGCGTTATTTTAATCAATATGGCAATAAGCAAGGGACCTCGCTAACTATAGTAAACACTTGAAAGCTAATAAATACTTGAAGCTAATAAACCAGTGACTCCTTCCATCTTGAAGCAACAGTCACTGGGTTGTGCTTGTCCGTAACTTCTAGCGTACACAGGTTACTTCCGTAATCTGAAGGATGTTGTTTTCCTCCTCCTCCCCTCCCATACTGAAAAGAACGCTGAACGCTACCCTAAATACTTACTGAGTTTTTGAAATACTATAATCCTCCCGGATTTTCTCTTATACAGGCTTTTATTTTCTTTCAAGATGCATAGAACAATACTTACAGAAGTGAGTTCTGAAGAGGCAACCCATATCACATCAACAAGAAGAAGAATGACAATTCCAAGAGCCATTCGCCTACGTTGAGTGGATGAATTGCTCTGGGAGCTCATTCGATTCATGATAAAAACCCACACCATTTGTGACCTATTCAATATTAAAAAAGGAATAAAAACAAAAGATTAAAAGAGAAACAGTGAGGGTAGGAAGGATCAAGTGTTTCACATATTAAAAATGGACCCAACATGCCAAGAAACATACACTTACGTTTGTTAAAAGCAGATCTTTAATTGAGCCGGCATGAGATTTTCAGAGACATTAGCGATGACTAAAAAGTAAATCTAGACTTTTCAGAAGTATATCAACTTCGAAGCAAGATTGCCATTGAAATAAGCAAAACTAGGTAAAGCATGCAATGCCTTTTTGGAAATTCCATACTGTAAGTTTGGTAAATTTTGAGATTACTGCATTTCAGTAAATTCAGATACTCTGAGCCTATAGCAGGAATTAGTCTGATGTGTTGTGTTGAACACAACTCCACTAAAGGCAATCAGAAACTTACATGTTTAAACTTCAGCATTAGTCAAATATTTCTGAAGACATAGCAACGCATTTGGGTAATTTACTATCACTACAAGCGTTGGGCAAAACACCCCTTTCCCTCTCAACAGCAAAGAATATTTAACTGTAACCTTACGAAATTACACTGCATGTGCCCTTGAACTTATACCACAAGATTTATATATCTATCTGGTAATTTATGAAGCACCGGCATGCATCGATTCTAATGAAAAGTCTTTTAAGCTAACAGTAAGACACAATATATGCAACAGAAAGCTTTGCCTATTAAAAAAATCCCAAACAATCCGATCATAAATGTGACTGTGCACCTGGTATGTTACATAGGCATAATCAGTTAAGAACACTTCACATTCTGAGAAACTAAAACAGAAAAGTAGGTTTGTACCTAGGGTATCTTTGTACAAGAGTATCTTATAGCAGTCTTACAGAAGTCATGCACACTCGCCAGAAATTACAGCATAAACAAACTCAGATTCTGACATGCACACCCCCCATCACCATTTTCATATATGCACCTCACAGCCTTTAGAAGTCCTTGTTCAAGGCAGTACTAGAAAGGTCTCAATTTAAGCAATTCTGGCGAATTATCAGAAAAGCATGGCTAGATTTAAAGGCTTAGAGCAAACTCTGATCTTACATACTGAAAGAGTACACTGTTCAAAAAAAAATCTGAAAATATGACTTATACTGCAAAAATGCAAATGAGGTAGAAGACTATCTACAGTTACTAGTAAAAATTTACAAAGGAGATGAGCATTATAGCAGCGTGCAAAAAGATCATGACCAATTTTCCTTCCCTCTCTTTCAGTAGGCACAGTACCTCTGCTTTATTCAATGAACACAGTAAATAAAAGAGAATAGACTTGATACTGTTTGTGTCGGCCTAAAAAAAAGGCACATCTTGACTTTAGAGGCAACAGCAACACCTGTACTAAAAACAGGTATTAACATTTACTGAAAGCACTGAAGTTATGCTACGAGATCATTAAAGGACTTTCCAAAAAAACAAGAAAGGAAAGGCAAACTATCTTATTTTTTTTTGTTTTCGTTTTTTTTTTTTTTTTAAATGGAGGGGCAGGCCTTAAAACACTAGCAAGATTTTTTCAAAGACTAATTAGTTCTATTCCAAACAACTGCTAATCATTAAATGGAGGGGCAGGACTTAAAACACTAGCAAGATTTTTTCAAAGACTAATTAGTTCTATTCCAAACAACTGCTAATCATAAGAATGCATGTAGGTCTGGCATGCTCACATTCACTATGGCTACTAGAAGGGGATTCAAATTCATGATACAGCTAGAATCTATAGTCTCATGTCTTTAAGGCTGCTCTTTAGAAGACCTAAATTCAGGAAGACCTTCAGTTTTATGATTAAAAAAGTTTCATTTGAAATTTATATTTATAAATTCATTTATATTTATAAATTTAGACAGGTGAGAGACTTGCTTTGCTAATACAGTTAGGTCAATTTAAATTACACTTATAATTTCTGCTGCACACACCAATATGCAATCATTTATTATCCTGTCATTATTTACAAACTATTTATGAAGGAGACTGTCCTGCAATGTCTTCGGAGAGGAAGTCGTTGCATGATTTTTTTCAGTACAGACCAGCTCGCTCTTTAGACTAACGATTCAAATTTTTAGATATGCACAAGTGCTTTAGAGATCACCACACTGTTTTCTACCTTTGACTCATTCCTCTCCTTTGCTGTACAGTCTCTTTCATATACAAATCTTGCCACCTTTTCCTTCTCTGCATTTCAAACAGCTTCTTTCCAAAGATCAACAGACAGAGCTATTGAAGTATAATGGTATCACTAGAGCTATGCTGATTTTTTCCATGTGTGGGCCTCAGTTCTGGATAATTAATCCACTTTGCTTATAAAATGGGGCGCTTGACAAAAGAAAGGCTTGTAAGTAGGTAGGAACAAGGTTATGAAAGATTTGGCAAGGAATAGTAATTTTTATTTGATATGGAGGAAAGAAGAAAACACTTGCTCTCAAAGAATAATTACGGATATTATCTTGAGCTTGAATAAGCTAGCAAAAGGTTGTAGTACTTGAAAGCTTGTGTGGGTTTTTTTCCAGTTTTTGTAAGTTGGTCTAACAGATACCACACATTTCTCTGTACAAACTTTGCCTCCATTTTATTATGATTACTAATACTATGATTTATTATGTTACTACAGACTACTAAGTTATGTTACCTATACACCCTACAAGCCAATCACACATTTGCGTGATGCACAGCCCAAACAGAATTTGTACACGGGAAAGTTCCAAAGGAACGAGAAGGAAGAAATCTCCTTCCTTCTCAGACTGCAGTGTGATATACGAACAGATGTAAGGTACACTAGAAATGGAAACTGCTCTAGCCTTTCATCACTGATGCGTTGTGAGGTAAGAGAGGGTAGCGGTAGATAGAGACAGGGAAGGAATCATAGCGGCCTGATCTGTTTGACTTTTCTGCATTACATGCCCAACTCCTCTTTTCACACCATATACTGCTTCAAAGCATACAGCACATACAGACTGTTCATGAAGACTTTGTACATTTTGTAGTTACTTAAGACTGTATTCAACCTGTCTACGTTAGACTCCTACAAATTCCTTGCATTAGGATCCCTCAGTGGGAGGGAAGTAAAGGACGACAGAATCTCAAGTACTTCACAGATAAGAGTTTATATATGAAGTTGTTCAGCGTACAATGTACATGTTGCACTGTTTCTTTTTTATCTATGATCAGCAGATTAAAAAAAACAATTAAAAAGGCCATACTCATGCCTCAGAACTTAAAAAAAGCATTACAGTAACATCTGCTATTATTTGCTCATCTGACTGCAAAGCGTCCGGTTAATGTTTCTACGTGCCTAATATAGCCTATTTCTTGTTTTTTCCACAACAAGGGAAAAAAGCTTACAACAAAAGGGGGACTTGTACAGGCGGCAAGAAGTACCTTCAAGTTATTAGTTGACTCAAAAAAAAAAAAATTACTAAAGTAGTAATACTAAATGCCTATAATGTTACTTTGAATTGGTGTTCTTTCATAAGAAAGTCTTTTTTTAAATATCTGATCTTTCACATCTAACTCACAATTTACCAAAATAAAGCAATGCAAAGCAACAGAACCCTATTGAAGCTTATGTAGTAATATAGTAAGTTTTAAGACAAAACTAAAGCTTGTAAAAGTTCGTGCAGAACGTAGAGACCGACAGAAACTATATTTTGGGAAGTTTTAAACAGCCATGCCATCCCACTTACTGATAAAATGCCAGTATAATTAACTTGTAACAAAATAAACCCCACAGTTCTTTATATATGGCTCCTGCACATTGATAGCAATATGCTCTGATAAAAATGAACATAGAAGGAACAGGACTTATTTTTCTTATACATACCTTCCACAATAATTTCAAAACAAAAAAAAAATCTAGCAAACTTCACACCTCATGTCAAAGTGAAGACAATCTCCTAAAAAAAAAAAAAAGTGATATATAAACATATCACATTTATCTTTGCAAAACGTTTTTTTAAATTTCAAAAGCAAAGAGCATCTTCTACAGCTCAAGTCCTAGATGTTAAAGAAATACAGATATAGAACCTTAACAAATTGGTCCATGTCAAAAATGCTAGCAGGACAACACTGAAGTCCAAGGGAACAGGATCATTTATCTATCTCCTTGCTATGTCAAAGAACACAGTCCTTTTCTCATTAATTAAATAGAAGAGGCTCACATGGAAATGCAGAAGCTGATGAAGTTACATACTTATTTTTTTAAAGCTATAGGAAGGAAGAAAAGGTATGCAGCCTTCCTAATAAAACAGAAATAACCGTTTTCTTAAGCCTGCATTCCTAAGTAAACAATGTAAATGTTAATAAGAATAGAGGATAGAGCATTTAGGCTCTTTGCCCTTAGAATAACCTAGAAAGATGAAATACTTCTATATTATTTCTGGTGCAAGTCCAATACCTTTCCTTAATTTGATGCAGTATCAAAAAACAAACAAAAAAACCCAACGACTTATATAAAACTGTTTTTTAAAGACTCAGATGCTGTAAAGACACTCAACACCCCCACCTCCATTTTTTAATTGTTATACAGGGGAATAAACACTACACATGAGGAAATGAGAAAAATCATTACATTAGACCAATCGGGCATCCATCTAATCAGCCACTATTTGTCAGTTCAGATACTGGTAAATATATAAGGCTCTAAAAAGAGGTACAAAAACCCTGCAACTGATGACCAAGAGTAATAAAGCCATAAGTTTATTGCTCAGAAGGGCTAGAAGTTCTCTCTCTTCTTTCTTACTCATGAAAGTCTCTAATCCTTTTGAACTCTGCTAAGCGTGTTGTTTTAAGGCTATGCTGTATCAACAGGAGTCATATGCTATATTAATAAGTCACAAATTAATTGTACAGAGGTAGCAGTAAGGACAAAAAATAAATGTTTTTCCTAAATTTTGCCTCTGATTACCTGCCAATCATGGTTAAAAGTTTATACACTGTGAATAGGAGGTGAAAGTTAATCTAATTTAAAATAAGTGAAAAGTATCGGTTTAAGAGGTGGATTATAAAGATGGATCATGTAAGCCTATGATTCAGACCTAAAGTTATAACAAATTCACCCCCGACTGAACTTGTCAAAGTTTATGCATTGCTTAGTTCCAGCCCTTTGCCACGCAGAGTTTAATGAACAACTAAAGGTAGGTATGAAGATTTTGAAGACTCAGTTTGAAAACACAGATGTGCTTATCCGTTTTGTACATCACATACCCTATGCTCACTGCACATTCTGCTTCAGTTTATTCAGCTCAGTGTCCTTATATATATATAGTAGCTGCTGTTATATTTTCCTCACATTAACAACATAATTGGAGATTAAGATCCGTACTTCAGAAAATCAAGACCATACATAGCTTGATCAGTTTGTGCATGCCTAATGTAGACACCCAGAAGATGAAACCGTAATATGTTAATAAATAAAAGGCAAAAAGTTCATTAAAATTCTTCTAACTGTCCATACTAAACTGAGTATCACTAAGATACTCAATTTTCAGCCCTACTTAATTCACATTAGCTATATTCACGTAACTAGGTGTAGAATTTGCATCTAAATTCAGTTATTAGGCAAAACATGATGTTACCATCTATCAGGGTATGGACTTACTGTGGCCTATAGCCCTCAGTGGAGCTGCCCAGACAGAACTCTGCTCAATCCTTATTGTCAATAATAAACCAATTTCAGGATAAGAAATTCCAATTACGCAAGACATTTCCCTCAAAGAACATGGCTTTATAATTACAGACATGTAATTCATCAACTACACACAGATCTATGGTAAATTTAAGCTATGAGAAGACACGCATGCCAAAATAAAAATGTCGATTTTCAAGTCAATACAACCTTCTACTAAACATAGTAGAAAGTTTACCTATGTTTGCCTTTTGTTTCCATTATTTGGAAACATGCTTTCCACATATTGTAACTTTTAACATATAGGTTGAAATTAGACATTTGGAGGAATATTAATTTAAAAGGTGTTTCTCAGCACCATTAAAATTGTCAATAAATAGCATGGAGTGGTTTTTTTTTGCCTTTTTTTTGTTTTACCATTTTAACTGTGTTAGAGTTGGGGCTGTCATCTTGTAGAACCATTTTTCAGCCAGTTACATGAAGATCTTCTGCTGAAAATAAACAAACAAACAAGAAAAACTCTTAACATTCCTTTTCATGACATTGTATTTTTTTTAAAAAAATTACCATATTCTAGATCATTTTGAGTCACCACTTTTATCTTTTTGGAGTAGCATAAATTAAAAAGTCTCACTAGTTGTCTAGAACGTGTGCTCACCTAGCTGATGACAGTGAAGTCAACAGGCTGAGTTGATTCTCCAACTCTGAAAGATAAAACTTTATTTTAGTATAACGAGCATGCAAGAAGTTACTTCTGAGGACAGGATGTACAATTCCACAGTTGATACTTAATGTGCAATCCTATTTCTGTAGCAAATGTTTCTTTACAGATTATCACCTTTTCATTTTAAAAGTTTAACACTAAAAGGGAAAATTATAATAAGTTCAAAAAATATGAAATAACTTTTGCTGCATTGATGATTAGGGAACTATCGCTATGAGCAAAGGAACTACCAAATCATTGCAACATAGGGTCATTGCCTCTAGCTCCTTCATGCGAAGGAGGGAGAAAAAAACAAAACAAAACAATAATAAAAAAATCTACCTCATAACAAGAGGCCCTGAACAGCAGCTCAGTGAAAACCCACTGTGGTGCAAGTTAGTCAACTTGAAATCCTTCCTTATGTTTACTCTAGACTATTTCACATATGATTTGAAAGAAACATACCAAGACAAGGTTTGTACGTAGAAGAAATAGCTTTACTTCTTCCAGTTATACCAGCTGCTCCAATAAGACAAGTTCTAGAGCACAAACCTCCTCCTTTAACATATATTGTCAGCAGGTGATTTGCATTTCATATGTGATTACTGATAAGATAAACAGAGGTTGTCTCAACTCTAATTGGAAAAAGACCGAAAGTAAACTGACGGATCATTTTTAGAGCCATCCTTCCAAATCTAGAAACGTACATTCAAGCAATGCTAGTTTAACACAACTCCGATTTCCACTCAACTTTCAAGAAGTATCGCTAGATGAGTATAAACACGAAAATCTTTGAAACAGATGGAAAGGTGAGCCTTACGCAACACGACAATCATAGTCGCTAAAGCCCTGTAATCTTTATTCACAGAAAGTTTCCTGTAGAATCCTACATAACGCACCAAAGGATGCAAGGAAGGAAACTGAAGACAAATTTTTCACGCCAGTACTGAGTACTGCCGGCAGAGATCACCATTCCTAAGTAAATAAAAAGTTATGCAAGACCAAAATATGCATACAAAACACTTATTTTAGCAGCAAAATAAGAAACTTTAGCTTCACATAAAGAGATGCTCTAGTAATCCACTAATATACAATACTTACTTGAAAACATTACAGTCATAACATCAAACTGCCATGGCACAACTGAATTCTGGTATCTAAGGAATAATAGGAACACTTGAGAAGTTCCCATTCAGCAGTGGCTCAGAAGGTTTTCTTTAAAAATATAGTTTTCTTATGCAGAAATAGAAATGTTTAACATTAATCTGTTACAAACTTGTTAACATTTACCAGGCAGTACAGAACCTAACCACAGACTTCTCAGGTTCATTCATACAGTATCCCAGTACAACTGCAACCCTTTTCGACATCAACACCTAATACCACAACAAATTAGAAACACAGTAGCTTCAAGCTGGCAGAGTGAAAGTTGACAACTGAGCTTGACCTTGCCCTCCTTCCCATGTTCCTCCAACAACATTAGAAGAAAATTTCTATTGATAAGCTTCCAAAAAATCTCTTTACACGCCATCACGTACAGAGCAACAGACACCTCACAGACATGCATAGCTGACACATTTAACGTTGGCTAAGAATTACAGGCACCACCTATTTCACAGATGTCATCCACCTAATGCAACATCTAAACCGATTGCACTTTGTCACAGGATAAGCAGCCACTGATCTCTGATAAGAGCAGACACAACAGCCTTTATAGCTGCGCGTCACACTCGCATCTGAAAACTGAGCCTTCCAGGCACGCCAGAAATACACAAGAGACCTGCATTCACAAACACGCTTTCAGAGCCTAAACGGGATCTTCTCCTTCCTGCCTGCCTACAGACAGGAGAAAAGGGGAATATACTATATTTAGAGCATATACACTCGGGGCAGAGCAGCAGGAACAGTGCAAGAACAGGAAGTCGACAAACCTCGGGAGAAGTGGATGCCTGAGGAAAAAGCAACGTGACTCTTCAGCCCGAGGGAGGAAGAACGGGTCCCCTCCCCGCAGCCACACGGAAAACGTAAACTCTAGGTAAAAACACACGCTAAGCGCTGCAGACGGCGGAGGGGACGACACGAACGCGTGGGGGACCGACACGGGGCAGCGGCGAGTCCGCCACCCGCGAGGGCGCCGCCGGAGAGCGGCGCCTCGGGGCCCCCTCCCTCCCCCCC